TGGACATGATCAAATTTTATTTGAAACTGAAACAAAACAAATTATTAGTCAAGGTCGAGTTAGCTTTACTGATGTAGAACGCCGCTGTTATGAAAATTCAACAGCAGCTGATGTTGTTATTTTTGTAATTAATTTATTATTTTATAACGATTTCTTTATTAGAATTTTATGTTTTATAGGTGATTTCAGCTGAACCACAGTCATTTAAATACCATTGTCAATATGGATTATTTGAAGAACATGCTACGTTAATTAAAACAGTTGGTATTCCTTATTTAGTTGTTCTTATTAATAAAATGGATGATCCAACTGTTAATTGGAATCAAGCAATATATGAAGACATTAAAGATAAAGTTTCATCTGTTTTTAAAAACTGTGGATTTAAACCTGGTGAAGATACAGTATTTATACCTTGTAGTGGAATGAGTGGAGCTTTTATTAAAGAACATCCTGAAGAACAACTTGTATCTTGGTATAAGTAAGTTATTAGAGAAATAATAATCGAAAGACAATGTTCTTTTTTTTATTATTATTTAAGAGGACCAATATTTATCGAATATTTGGATAGTTTACCATCATTTAATCGAATAAGTATTGATGGTCCTCTTCGAATACCAATTGTTTATTGTTATAAAGTATAAATTATTTAAAAGTATAGAATTAATGAAGATATTTAATTTATATAGGAAACAGGTGTAATTGTATTTGTAACTAATGTATTTGTAATGGGAAAAATCGAATCTGGATGCTGTCGAGTAGGTGATAAATGTATAATAATGCCAAATCGAACTCAAGTTGAAATAACAAATATTTATTATAAAGGTATTGAAAAAGATTCATGTGTTCGTGGAGAAAATGTTCGATTAAAATTGAAGAATGTTGAAGAAGAATTTAGTATGATTGAGATGTTATTTATTAATTATTAATAAGTTTTTTGAATTAATAGGAAATTTCATCTGGATTCATGATTTGTGATGTTGAACAAGAACCATGTAGTGTTGGAAGAGTATTTGATGCACAAGTAAATTTAATAAAGAAACTATGAAACTATATTTATCGTCTGTTACAATATATAGATAATGTTAAGTAATTATTATTCTATAATCTGTTCTGGTTTTTGTGCTCTTCTTTATATTAATGGAGTTATTTTTGACGTTCAATTGAAAAAACTAATTTTAATACGTGATCAATATACAAATAAAATAATTCAAGAACGTCCACGTTTTATTAAACAAGGTCAGGTTGCAATTGCAAGATTTGAATTAACTCAATCAGATCAAACAATATGTATGGAACCATTTAAACGTTTTCCTCAACTTGCTCACTTCATGTTACGTGATTGTGGTCGAGTCGTTGTCTTTGGCAAAGTTCTTAAAATAATCGAGTAAAACGTTTTTTTTGTTATTTCATATTGATTCTCTCTTTAAAATAAAAACCTATGAATAAGACTATTGTTATTTTTTTAACTTTGAAAAGAACATAAATAAAAAAAATTCGTTTATTAATTCCAAGAATAAAATTTCCTTTTGCATTTCGATTTAAATCAACAAGCATTAATTTAATTGATGAGTTTAATACAGTAAAAAGAAAAGATTTAACAAAAATATATTAAACGAATAATAAATAAACAAGTTTTTTTCAATTGAAACATTTATATTGAACGTCATGTAATATCAAAACTATCACCGATGCTATCTTATACGATGTGTCGCATGAATAACGAGTAAACAAATATTTCAATCATTAATCATACAAGTGCATTTCTTCCTTATTCTTGTGATATATGCTATATAATTTTTTTGGAGTTTCTGCAAATAGAGCTCACCGCATTCTAACAACAATGCTGTAGTGATGGATAGATGAATTTAGCTCGTCTGATTAAAAGAACAATCTCGAAATGAAACCAAACTATTCAGAAACATCGATAAAATACGACTTACAATCATCTGTGGTTCTTCTCGCGTTAGGTGTGATTCGTTGAAGTTTTTATAGAGATGTTTAGGAAAGCAGTTATTCTATAGAGAATTTGAATAAATAATTTATTTAAACATAGATTAAATTGAATATTTCATAATTCAATAGAATTTTTTCTTCAGATAGAGTTCTCAAGATCTATGGATTCTTTATCGAATTTCATTATTTGATGACAAATAAAAAATATTCTCAGTTCATAAGATTATATCATCCAATTCTTAATGCATTATTCTTTCTCTAAATAATGATTTGTTCTCATAAATACTTGCACTTGAATCTATTTGTATATGTCTAGATGATATTTCTCCATATCTGATCTGTAGATATTGACAACAACATTCCTACAATTAGTTCTTCTATTCTATGTCTCACAATTTATTCTTTTGTTACATATTCTACATTTAAGAAATCACAGTGTTTCTATAACATCTCAACATTTCAACATTTTTGGAAGGAAATAATTATAAATCGATAATTTGAGAAAAAATATTCTATGTAAATAGAAATTTTGAAACAAATTATGCATGAATAAATGAAAAAAATTGAAGAATCAGTTAAATATGTATTTGTTCTTATATTAAAAACCAAAAAAAGTAGAATTTTTGACCAATTTTCAGTTTGGTAAATACGATTATCATCAGTAAAAAATGTTACATATCTAACTATTTATTTAATTTTTTTAATGTACATTAGTATTAGTATTATTATTGAATTAATATTATATTTTTCTTACAATCACTTATTTCCTAACATCTTGTACGGGTGATGATCGCATTTATTTTACTGGTCAAATATTCTGCTTTTTTTTAATTTCTAATATAGCAAAGAAAAATAATAATAAACACATATTTAATTAATTTTTTGGGAAATAATTACATCAAACGATTTTCTTCGTAAATTGAGTTATCAGGAAAGATAATTTTCTGCTAGACTAAATACATTCTATTAGAATGGCTAAAGAGAAACTATATTGTCATCATCATCAGAAAATTATGCACACTTGATAGTTAAGTAAGAGAATATTACATAAAATATTTTTTTATCGTTTGATATAAAAAGCGTGTTTCTTTCAAAGTATAGATCAGTTGCTGTAATTTCAATTTTAACGTGTCATGCTGACATTTGCCAAAGAACTTATCTGGTTTCTTGTCGTGAGGTTATTGATTTTTATCCAGCCAAGTATGCAAGATAAATCCATATTTACTATCAGCGCTCCAGGTTGGGAATTTGTTCCCGTTGACAGTTCCCTTCCTCCAATCTTCATGTTTACGACTACTAAGCTATTATATTGTAATGTTCAATGTCATCAACGTATAGATTGTCGAACGTTTGATTTTGATAGTGATTCAGGACAATGTCGCTTATGGGACACTGATCTAACAACTGGTTCTATTGTTGTCTCAATTTCGAAGCCCAAATCTTCGGTCGGCACTGTTCAATTATCATCCAATATTTATGGCAATATTTATAATCAAACCTGTGATCAATGTGCTCAAAGTCGATATTTAACAAAAGATACAAACAGCAATACTTGTCAATGTCCTTCGAAGACATTTTGGAATGGTTCAATGTGTTTGTCACAGTTACTTCGAAATCAAACTTGTTCGAGAGTAGATGCATGTCGATCAAATTTCAATCTTACTTGTCAACCAAGTTGCGATTTACCTTATCGATGCACAACTCGTAAGTTACTCTGAAGATTACGTTTTTTTTTCAAAATTTTCTTTTGTGCGAAAAAATAATCCTCAATGTAATGTCCAGAATTTCGACTGATAATGAAAAGAAAGAAAATGAATATTGTGTAAGATTTGACAAATTAATATTGACAGTAGACACAGGAACTGGAATAATTATTCAATTAAGTAGTAACATGTATTATTTCATTGCATTGTTGCATAACTTGAGCTAAAAGATTATTCGAAGAGAAAAATGAAATCTGCATGTTAGTTTTTGAAATAGAATTATTATTAATAACAATCTGAAAATAAATTGATAGATACAGTAGTGCGATTTCTTTCAAACTTCAGAGAAAAGATCATCTGAATTATAAATACGATTCTAACATCGACTTTGACCTATGTTAAAATACAGACAAAATTACGAATGATTGGATTTGCCTTATATTGTTCCGATATAGTTTCTAGGCAACAGTAAAGTCCTGTTCAAAATTGAGGAATTAGATATGGTGAGTATTTTTACATTTGAGCATTCATGCTCAATTAAATATGCTACTGTTATTCGCTTGAGTCATATAACATCAGTTAAAATAAACTATATCATTCTTTATTATTGCAGTTCCAGCCATAGGTGCCGGTCAAACAGTGGTCGGCTTTTGTAATGCCACTCTTGGTAATGGTCTAGGGGTGTACAGCGAACGCTCATGAGCGCTCATATGAGCGTTTTTTGCTCACGCTCACGTGAGCGATGATAGCGGTCATGCTCATATGAGCGCTCATGAGCGTAAGCGTTTCTTCTTTATCTCGAATATGTAAGAAATCAGTAATAATGAATTCACTCTAGCTTGTATTCATATAAAAACATTATGGTAGCTTCTACAGTTTCTTATCCGATATATTCAACCATTGGGTGCAAATCTAAATAGTTTCTAATCGGCGATAGACAGTGAGTGTTAGAATACACTCATTTATGGTTAGAAACTCGAAGTTTCAGAATATTTGCCTCTGAAACAGGCTTATATTTTCACTGCAGCACCCAAAGAGTAAAGCTAGGATCTTATTATATATGCCTAGTTGATATCAATCGAGGCTCTCTTAATTTAGTACTAACAATATCATTATTCAATGAAACAAAGACGATTATATCGTGTTCAATAAGACAGATTGTATGGCAACGTGTTGTTTGATTGAACAGACATTAAAAGTTCATTACTCATATTGATTAGAAACTATTAAGAGACGACCAATATGTCTCTATGACTTGTTACATCTCTCAAGTTGCGTGTGATATCGACAGGAAAAATAGACTAGCTGCATTTAAGAACTGCCAACTATCATGTATTATATTTCGCGATTAAACAAAAATGATTTTTTTTACATTTTACTATTATCATCAGTATTACTTCAAAATAAAGAATTTTGACGAGTTAATCTTACCGATTGTACTATCAAAGATGCTCTTTCTAATTGTGTAAAAATTATTGATTAATCTTTTTCAAAAATTTTTAGATAAATGTGTAGAGAACACTTCAGGCTATCTATCAGTAGTTTTTTTTT